GTTCATATATTTGAAAATTACAAGTTTGATTATAATTTTGTCAACTTTATTGCAAAGGCTCATAATTATTAAAATGCAAAGAAAGGATTATTAAAGCAAGAGAATAATTCAAAAAAGATTTAAAGTTGGATATTTTATGACCTTCTATAGGTTATAGTTATCATTATGTTTTTTTGTAATCAAGGTTATGAATTTTGTTTTGTATATAGCCTTTGATATATCCAATATTTGGCATTTTTTCGTCTATTTTATATTTTGTTTTGATATTTCCTCTATTTCAAACAGCATTAGTTGTTCCTTAATGTGCATCAAATTAGAGAGGCCTTTAATACTTAGAATTAAAGAATAATTCTCAAGAAACGAATAATCTGAGTAAATATTTTTTCTTCAACTTCATAATCATCCTATATACCATAAGCTAAATTAAATATTTTATAAATTAACTCATGTATAAAAAGAAAATTGTAATGAAAAATGACATCTAAATTTCTTGTCGAGAATTACATTGATGGTTCGCATTAAAGTACATCTCTATATATACTACTGAGAAACACTTTTTTGTATTTTTTTTAGGCTTTGTAGTTTTATTTTTGACCAAAATTAGATATTGTTATTTTCTCTAATATTGCTGATAGTTTTGAGATACAGAATACTAATAAATAATCATAAATTTTCATATATTCCTCATTGTTCAATATATGTTCTAATTTATATCTCTTAATTTGAGCGATCCCAAGTAAAGAAATACTGTCCATCATCACTCAATTAACCATATAATTGATTATGACCAAATTGAATAGATTACTCAAGTTTAAATTGATCTTTTTGTGTAATTCTTATGAAATTGACATATTTATCATGTTTATTAACTAGTAATTATTTTTATTTAATAAATTATTATGGAAACAAAGTATAACCCTCTTAACCTTAATTAACATCAATATCTTTGGTTTTAAGGAACTATTTACTAACACTATTCATTTCATAGACATGCATTAAATTGCCTTATATTGGTTGAAATGTGAATAAATTATTGTTGATAAAGCATATACGAATACCATAGCATTCAACATTTATCTTTTATATCACAATCCACTTTTGACTTTATTCTGAATACTCAATCACCAATATTTTTTTATCAGCTCCACAAGAAATAAGTTTATTTTATTATTCATTTAAACTTATTTAATAAACATAACTAGTATGATCTGTGATTGTTTATTAACAGATCCATTCATTTTGTTTAATCCAAAACTTAATCGTATTATCAGAACTACTGGATATGAAAATATCTTCATTATAATTCAGAATTAAACAATTAACCCAATTAATATGTCCTTTAATAGTTTATGAGCAATTCCATTAAGTATTATTATTGCTTGACCATATTAAAATAGATCCACTCTCATCTCCAGATATAATCTAATTTGATTTTTTCATGAAATTTAAAGTACTTACAGCTTGATTATGTTGATTTAAGACTTGAATTAATTTCAACATTCCTTATTTAAATTCATATATTTTTATTTGTTGATTACATCCAGTTGCTACAATTGAGGAGTCTTTGTTAAAAGCAATTGCAAGACAAAATTCACTTTGTTTAATTGAATGTTCTTTAATGATCTGATAAGTAAATGGTTTTAAATTGGATTATTATTACTAAATTATTAATGATTATTAATGTTATTATTATTAT